GCATTTTTGTGTATATGTTGGAAGTACTAAATAATGATGTATTACTTAGCATCTCTTAACTCTGTTCATACACATAAAGTTGATAGCTTAAAATTGGTCAGGGAGGTGAGGAGGTATAATATTTGCACCACAAAAATTGCCACATACTACAAATCAAGGCTACTGCTGCCACCACCACCAGAGAGCCAGTTTTTAAACATTTATCAACACATCCCTGGCTGTGTGGGTTAGACAACCATTTTGGGTAACTCTGGTAGAATTACTTAAATGAGATGGTCTCCTGTGGCCTTTGGATCCCCAACAAAACAAACTAGCAATTCTGCAAAGCCACTATGCATGCACTCAGTGCAGAAGAAAATGGTATTTCTGGTCACCTGTTGGGAGAAACCCACTTTGACTCAGGGAACGTGATTTCTCACATATGTGGGTATAAGGGGCTAAATGACAGCACCCCTATAGGACTATCAGAATGAGGCCAGCTATCAGATAAACCACAAATGATTTACTTATTAGTCCCAGAGAAGAGAGTATCTGGGGAGTCTACACAACAGTGTTGGGGTTTGGAAGCCAAGGGTTAACAGTTACCTCTCTCGAGTCAAGAGACAGAAGTCAAAAGATCTAAGGAGCCATTGTTTTAGAAACTACCCAAGGATTTCAACCACCCCTAAAAGTGAAACTGCAAAGAATTACCTCCACCTGCTCAGCCCTTCCCACGAGGCCAGTCCCTGTGGATTTAAACACTCCAGCTGCTTATAAGTATCTTCACAGGTACTGTTTTCTGGTGTGGATGGATCAGAAATTCCTGGATGTTCCAGGAGTCCACCGCTCCCACATGCCATCCTTTAAGGGTTTTTTGGTTTTTGTTTTTACTCTCACAACATTCCGTGAGCATTGATTGTGTGCCTGATACCATGCAGGGAAGCTTCAGGGATAAAAGAATAAGGAAGACACACCCTGCCCAAGTATTTGCAGTACACTGTGATAACCTATACAGGTGCAATGTGAATTCAGAAAAACATGAACAACTATGCTGAGGAGTGGGGCTGGTGAGTTTTAAGGAGAGGGGTCTTGACATATGTTCAAGATCTAATGCAAGGTAGGAATTCTCTCTGAAGGAAGTAAGGGGCCATCATGGAAAGTATGGTTCGGAGTACAAGGGCACTTTCTCAGGCACTTGACAAGTCTTTGTCCTTGGGAGAATATGGTAACTGTGCAGCATGATCTGTGAACTCGATGATGTACCACCCTCACCAGTGTCAGCAGAAATGTCCCGGAAGTCTAACTGCCCCAAAGCAGCACAGGTTCTAATTTCTTAGAAAGGAGAAATTGGGAAACTGGACTTGCTCAAACTTTTCCCTATAAGAAAGTTTATTTCCAAAATATCTTCCACTGGGCGTAATGTCAAACAACTTCAGTTTTTTAGCAGCTGCAGACAGGGAGGAAACCCATTTAGGTCTTCAGCCACACCCCAAGCCTACTTTCAGATCTCAGTCCCCTTCATATGCCAGAAATTGATTTGAGTAGGTCACAGTAATTTGATGGAACCAAATGGGCTCAAAGCATCCCGGGGTTAAAAAGGCACACACCTCAACATTCATGAGAGTCCAGTGTCCTGAAAGTCACTAGCTGAGGTGGCTCAGCTGGCCACACTGACCTTGGCAAGCACTACTCAGCTCTGAAATTAACCTGTCAACTAAATTGAAGGGGAGAAAAGGCAGCATGGCTAGGACACAAACATCCATCCCCCACCCCCAGTCCAATCACTGACGTCAAGCCTGGAGTGGGTGGTATTAATCATGCTAGCCTGGTGTGCAGTTGAGGACAACTCTCCTTCCAACCCATTCCTGGGACCGTTCCATCAGCTATGCACCTGCCACTGGCCACAAACCCTCAACTCCCAGACAGGCACGGATGCAGGCTGTTGCTGACAACACTCAAAGCCAGAGTGCACCCTTTAGAACCCAGGCTTTGGGGGTGGGGAGGAGGAGGGAGAGCAAAACCTTGTGCCCGTGTTTTCTTCCCAGGTGTGCGGTTCTCATCTCTGCAATGCTTCCTCCAGAGGAGCTCTCGCCATAAGATGGTCATTTCCTGAGGATTTAATGAGAAGATAGAATTAATGACCCAAAGCGCTCTTTGCAGCCGGGAATTAATTCCCCCCAGGAAATACCCCTGGTCTTTAATCAAAATTGCCTAAATTATAGACTAGTGATGCATGTCCTCACAGGTTTGGGGGCTGGGGTTGGGGGGCTGTCATCCCTACTGGTTCCAATAGATGGCGCCTATCTTCATGCAAATAAATCACCCCTAATTCATTTTCCATTTCTCACCAGCGAAAACCAGAGGGCATTAAAAAAAAAAAAAAAAAAGACGGCAGAGAGTGGAGAGGACTTAGTAAAGGCCCAGACAGGAACGTTCTGTCCAAGGGCTGTTCCCAGGACTGGCACCACACCTCAGGCTCAGACTGAGCCACACCAGGGTGCAGCCAAGGACCTCAGCAGCAGTCCTGCCTCCTATGTGTGCAGCCTGAGCTGGGTGCTGGCAGCTAAGTAATGATAAAGGTGGGGTGGGAAGCCAGAAAGCACCAAGAAGAGCCCCTTTTTTCTAACTTTTGGGAAAGAAATGGTGTGTTCAGAGAAGACTTCCTGAAACTGATACAAGTTTTCCCCACTATCCAAAAGTTTGCGTTACACCCCTTCACTTTTACAAAAGACCCACGTTACTACTTGGTTTTGCCCACCAAAAGAAATTCGAGGAGGATTTTCACTTTTAGGAGATGTTAATTGCTTCTTCACTTTACCCCACGTCAGCTTACCGGGAAGTTTCATGGGAAGGGACCACTTTTGGATTGCTGGGAAGACCTGTTCAGAACATCAAACTCTTCTATTTCCACATGGAATTATATAATTATATATAATAACGGGGAGCAGAGGGTCTTTTGCAAAACAGTATAAGACCCTCAGGAGCTTCTGGCAGAATGCAGCCCATACAACTATCAAAGAGTATGTATTAGAAGACTACTCATCTAGGGAAAGATAAGGCATATGTATGCCTGACTTGCATCATACACCTCAGCTGCAAACAAACCATGCAGACTGCAATCACTGAGACTTGGCACCATGACTCAGATGTGAATGAAGTCAGATTGCTTTATTTTGGTTGGGAGTCACTGCCTGCTGATTGATTTGGCAGACTTGACTATTTTGATATTTGTCTTACAGGGTTTCAAGATACTTAAAGCAAGAGGTTAAAATGGCTGTAATTCTAGTGGTGGCCTTCAGTGTGGCTTAAAAATCTCTAAATTGGAAGGCTAAGGGAGCTCTGGTCCCAGCCATAGCCTGATGGTTGCGGCTTTACATTCAGTCCAGCAGCACACTGGATAGTGAAGAAAGTCAATGAAATGATGGGTGCAGGGGAGGTGATCTCTACCTCTCAGGATGCTTAGAAAAGCTAAGCATATAGTAAAGGATTAGCATTGAACCTTCTCCAACCCAGGCAAGATCTGTAAAACCAGAACAATGTCCAACAGCTTGAAACAACTAGCTTTGCTGCACAGAGACAGGAAAATGAGCAAAAATACCCTTGGTCTTAAGTTGTATGGGAAGTGTGAGATGCTGTTTCTCCCACTCATCTGCCCAACAGCACAGCACCCTATGATGAAAGGGGTTACTATCCACTTTTCAGAGAAGTTGAGGGAGGACCTACCTTTTAATGCTGCTCCTAAAGGTACTTTGTGAGTTGAAAAGAGCCCCGACCAGAGGTGGGTGTTTTTTTCCCCCTCCATCCTCCCCCTGAAGTACTGAGGTTATCAAGTGTGGGCTTACACATACTTTCAGTTAAACCTCACCAAGGCAGTGAGAGAAGTATCATTAGATTCCAATTTTCATATGAGCCCCAGAGAGGTTTTATAACCTGTGTCAGTGATTGGGACTCGGGGGAATTTTGACCCCAATTTCTTGTTCTACACCACCTTGCCTTTTAATTCACTATGAAATACATTGACTCACTTTTCGATTCTGCAAATCACACGAATTTTCTTCTCCTGAATTGTTTTTCCCAGAGGCAATGCGGGAGCCAGCTGGACTTTATTTGCTGGTAATAAGGGGCCCCCAAGTTGATCGGTAGACACTAAAGCAATTACCCCACTTTAAATAGCAGATGAGCAAGACCACCCTCACCCCACCCCCAGCCCCAGCATTGGAAACTTGCCTCTCTATTGCACACGCTTTGGGACTTTAGGCTATCTGCAAAATGGGAATAATACGGCTCGCCCAATTTGTAGATTTGTGAAGACAGTCATGTAAACAAGGAATGTAAAAGCGCCCAGCACGTAATAGTCTCTTTGCTTCTCCCGCCAAGGGGGTGCGAGAGTTAATGAAACTCTTGCTGGGAAGCGGATCACTAATTTCTGCCAGAACCTGACCCACTGAAACCTGAAACTCGCAATGGATAAGAAACGCGAGCAGCCCTTGGGTCCCTGCTTGACGACCCTCTGTGAAAAATCGATTCGCGATCGAGGGCGCGCAGCCCCTTCCCTTCACCCCACCCCCACCAGGGGCGCGGCCGCCTCCTGCTTGCTGTTGAGGCTTGGGGCGGAGGGGAGCAAGACCAGGGGGCGCGGCCGGCGGCAGGCTTCGGCCACCGAGCAAACCTCGGGCCTCCCGGGTCCCCAGAAGCGAGGCAGTTTGCGTCTTTGAAGGCGGCCCGCCGGGGGGCGCGGCGGGCTGTGGGCGTGGCGAGCGCGCGCCGCCCTTTTTCCTGCTGTGGCGCCCCCACCGCGGCTCGGCTGGGAGTGCGCGCGGGCGCAGGCGCGCGCAGGGAGAGCGGGAGCGCGCGAAGCGGCCGGGCCCGCGCCGCGCCGCCTCGTCGTCGCCCCGCGGCCGCTGGCCGCCCGGGCCCCTCCCCTCCCCCGCGAGCTGCGCACCGCCGGCCCGCTGACCCAGCGGCCCGCGCCCGCGCCCTTGTCTGTCCGACCCCGCGGCGGGCTCCAGGCGGCAGGCAGCATGAGCGGCGGCGGCGACGTGGTTTGCACCGGCTGGCTGAGGAAATCGCCCCCCGAGAAGAAGTTGAGGCGCTATGTGAGTGCAGGCGGCGAGCGGGTGCGGCGGCGGACGGCGCGGTTGGGGGGGGCGCCCCGCGGCCTGCCCAGGGACTGGGGGCTCCGGGAGGGGCGGCGCCGAAGGGGAGGGTGGGCCCTGGGGTCCCGGGGGGGCGAGGAGCGGCCGGTGCGCCCCGCGGCTCGGGGCTGTGTGGGGCACCTGCACACCTGTCACAGGTGCGCCGCGGAGGGGCGGAGCGGGCGGAGCAGGCGGGCGGGCAGGCGGGCAGGCGGGCAGGCAGGCAGGCAGGTTGAGGCTGCGGCTCCCTCTCCGCTGGGCGGGCGCGGCGGCGGCGCCTCCCCAGCCAGCCTCCCAGTAAACTAAATACGGTATTGAAGTTTGTATTGATTGTTTTTGGAGACCGAGAGTGTTCATTCCCGGGGCTGGGGGACCATAGTAACCCCGGGCGGCTTCAGCCCGCGGGGCTGGGGGAGTGGGCGGGAAAGGGGGGCGCAGTCTGCGGGGCGGCGCAGCCCGGTCCCCACAAAGGGCGAGGCGCCTCACACCCTTTCCCCCTTGCCTTTCTCTGCCCGCCCCTCCCGGGTGACCGCCTGCTTCCTTCCAGTCCACAGCCTCTGCATCACGGGCAGCGTCAGCGGCATGTGCAGCTCTTGTATTAAGTGACTCATTTGTTTGTCCCCCTTCTTTCCCTTTATTCTGTATGTCTCTCACATACATCCCCCCACCCCACCTCACGATGGTGACACTGCAGTTTGGTCTGGTATAACTGGCCCAGGTTTTGTGCGGTCCTAGGTGCCTGGGGTCGGGAGAAATCCAGGTTCTCAGTTGGCAGGTGGTGCTTACTGACGGTGTTTACCGAAATTGCTGGGACAGCCTCTCCCTTCTGGGTGAGAAACTGGCACCATTGAGGGGAAGGTAGTATACAGTCTGGTGCTGACTGGTGAGGAGGTCTGGCTAACACTCCCCCCCACTCCCCGCTTCTCCCTGTGCCTTGCCTGATGGGGTCAAAGTACAAGATCGTGCTAATTACAATCAGCCCTGGGCTCTTTGCGGGCGTTTGGAAATGGAAGGTCGGTAAAAGGTGTCAGGGTCTCTTCACTTGACTATGAAATGCCCTTGTTACACTGACCCTTGGTGCTGGACTCTCTGGGATCATTCCCACAGCATGAAAGTGAGCTGTTGCCTTCCAGCTGCAGTGCATCAAGGGAGCTCTGAATAGACCCTGCCCTCTGTCAGCTGCACCAGTGGTTGTCCATGGGGGGAGAGGCAGAAGCTTACCAGAGTTTCCTGTCTTGGCTCCCCTGATCAGAACTGAGGGACTTCTGGCCTCTGGATTGAGGAAGTGACATTCTGTTTTTCAAAGGAAGTGTTGTTGGGGAGTGCGAGTGAGTGTGTGTGTGTGTGTGTGTGTGTGTATGTAGATGAAAGCAGGCTCTTATTTAAATCACTTGCTGAGAAGACTAAGTATTTAACAATGACTTTTGAAAGTGGACATAGATTTAAAATACAGTAGGGATGAGGCAATGAAGTGTTCATCTCAGTTCTAAAACTCATTTTTCAGGGATGTCCAGGTAGCCAAAGCAGTATAATTACTAAGAAAGAGACTTTTCCCCCTTTTCAGAGTTGTATCAGCTCATTAGGAAAGATGAATTTTTATATTAGTTTAAGGATGAGTAATTTGCTATTTATGTTTTTATAAAAATCAAAACAAATCTTTGGCCCCAAAGAGTTTCTGAAACTATTAGTAAAAGTGTAGTAACATTACCAGCTAGTAGAGTATCCAGTGAAAATTTTCAAGTTAGAACACTACCCTAAAGAACCTTGAAACTTTGATACAGTTTGCAAACAATTTGATACCTTGTCTGTATTCGACTGATGACTACTTCAAGTCTATCACCTAGACTCTTTTTATGACCCATTTCTTTGGTATTTTTGTTCTCAAGCAACCTTAGCTCAACCCCCCCCCCAAACAAAAACAAAAAAACAAGTTTGGGGGCTTTGAAGTGAGGCACCTTTTTCACCCATCTGAAGTACTGGACACCTTACAGTCATATGATGACCTCAGCCTCTTTCGCATCATCTTTAGAGCTCCCACCCATAGACCTCTGATCAAGCTAGTAACAGCTTTTCTTAGGCTCCGGGGTGATGTGTTCCAGTGGTATGACTGGAAGTCTCCTCTACTGTGGGAACTCAGTTCCCTTAGTTAAAACTGAGCTGATCTGTCTAACCCCAAACTCATGGGGTTAGAGTCTGCCTTTACATCTTATTTTCTTTTTGCGCGCTGAGAATTTCTGCACCTTGTTTTCAGTTAGAACTTTGCCAGTTCCCTCTGTTCATTAGAAACAATCTAGGAGACAAGTAATTCCCAGCTCCGTTGCTAAACACCCCCTCCCCAAATAGCTGCTTATTCTGATACATATCATAGGCGTCTGGTGTATCAAGCATCTGAGATAAAGAGAAAAGAAGTTAATGAAATAGATTGCAACTACTTATAATTAATTTTAAAAACTTTAATTTGAGGAGTGGGTAGTAAATAGGAAAAACAACTTGAAAGAAGCTATGGCAAATGTTACCAGGGATTAGATTTAGGGATTTTTTTTATCAGTCTTTTCTAATTTATTAATCATAGGAAAATGTAGAGATCTATTCAGTATTGCTGTGCACATTGGGGGAATTACAAAAAGTGGCCCCTGGAAAATGGTGAGTATTGCCGCTGGGCCATCATGATACCTTTGTAGTGGGAGGCTGGCAGAAGGAACAGCCCTCCCATCATGCTGTAGTATGCCTGTATATGAGTGTGTGTGTGCATGTACACACACACATACACACACACACGTATATAAGGCTGAAGCCACATTTTCTCAAGGAAAAACATTTTATGACCTACACTGCTCTAATTTTCTATTAATTTCACTGGGTTAATAGATTTAGGGGAAAAGATTGGTAGCAACACTGTCCTCTAGTGGCTAATTTGGAGAAAATTGTGTATTGGTTCTAATGAACAACTGAAGTGAGGAAACTATTTTTATTTTATTAAGTAAACTTATTTATTAAGTATTTGTGTCTCAGACACTGGATTAGATGCTGGGAATAAAAATTAAGCAGATGACCTTGCCTTTTCCACAAAGAACATTGAAACTGAGAGTAGCTGTGTGCACATACTACAACCATATTTCCAAATTTACCTATATCTGCATGGTTCCTTTACTTTTTCCCTCTTCTTAGAGTAGATGAGGTGCCCCTTCTTTGGGGGAAGGCAGTGCTGAGATAATGGAGATGATGACCTGAGCCCCAGGTGCCCTGATGAGGTGCCCCTTCTAACTGAGCAATCCTGCTACCTGTCCTTTGGATCATATTTCATCCTGTCTATTCAGATCATTATTACGCTTTCTATCATGAATCTTCTGTGTCTTCCCCTCTGCTATCCCTTTCCATTAACATGTAAACATACTTCCCTTTAACAAAATCCTCCCTCAGTATCACACCCTTTCCTTCTCACTATGCTTTCTCCTTTTCTTATTCATGGTTGTTGATACTGTCTCCATTTCTCCTGCCTTCTTGTCATTTGGCTCCTGTCCGAAACCTACTTTGTCATTTCACTAAAGGCGTTGTCTGAAAGGCACCAGTGACACCTAGGTCATTAAATTCAGAGGTCTGTTTTTTCACTACTCATTTTAATTTCTTCACTGCTTAGTTAATATGATAAATGCCTGACTTTTCTCCCTTTCTTGGCCACTCTAAGTATCTTTTGCTAAAATGACCCTCTTTACCCAGTCCTTAAAGTTGGAAGTTCATTTATCATCACAGGGGTTGTGGTCTAGGCTCTTTTCTCCTCCTCAGACAACTCGTCCATTCTCCTGGCTTCAATTATCATTGCATGCTGGTCATTATCAAGTTAAATTTCCATTCCAGAGTTGTGTTTTGAACTCCAGACTTGCATATACAGTTGTTAACTGGACATCTCTACTCGCATGTCTCCCAGACATCACACACTCACCACACCCAAAACTCGCATGTATTCCTCTGCTCAGTAAATGGTGCCACTGACTACCCACTTGTTCAGGTGTGAAACTTGGGAATCAACCTTGACTCCTTGTCATCCACTACCCCACATCTCCTCTTTTACCAGACCCACTAGTGCTATCATCTTAATATCTTTTTCTCTACGCTTCTCCATCCCTACTGCCATGACTTTTTTTTTTTTTTAAGATTTTATTTATTTATTTGACAGAGAGAGACACAGTGAAAGAGGGAACACAAGCAGGGGGAGCGGGAGAGGGAGAAGCAGGCTTCCCGCTGAGCAGGGAGCCCTGGGACCATGACCTGAGCCAAAGGCAGACGCTTAACGACTGAGCCACCCAGGCGCCCTTCCACTGCCATGACTCTTAAGATTGTCGTTTAAATAGTCATCTGTTGAGGACTTACTCTGTGCCAGGCACTGTGCTTAGACATTTGGTCTCTTAATTTAGTCTTTTTAGCCCTAGGAGAAAAGATGTAACTTGTCCAGGGTCACCTGATTTTTGTCCCAAAGCCTAATTTTTTAAAAAATTTATTAAACTTCTCTGAGGTAATCATAGATGCACACCTATTTGTAAAACTAGTGAAGAGAGGTATGTGTACTCTTTACCCACTTTCTCCTAATGGTAACTCTCTGCAAAACTAGAGTGCAATATCACCATCAGGATATTGATAATGGTGGAGTCAAGATAGAGGACATTTCTATCACCACATGATCCTTCGTGTTGCCCTTTTATAGTTACACCCACTACTATCCCATTCTCACACTATCCTTAACCCGTGACAACCACTAATCTCTCCTCCATTTTTATATTTTGTTATTTCAGGAGTGTTACATAAATGGGTTCATACAGTTTCTAACTTTTTGGGATTAGCTTTTTTCATTCAGCATAATTCTCTGGAGATTCATCCAACTTGTTGTATGTATCACTAGTTCATTCTTTTTTATTGCTGAGTAGTATTCCATGGTATACATGTACCATAATTCATTTGTTAAACTG